ACTACTGAGTTACTGCTAACAGTGAGTAAGTAGCACCACCATTAATTCCTGCCTGACACAGAATATTAAGACAGAGACTTTGGGGGGGCGGGGAATGATGTTAGGAGGGGGGCTTCTGCTGTTTAATAAGACCCAAAGGAATATCTCTGGGTTGAGACAGCCTTTTTTTAGCAACTTCTAGGCTTCCTAAAACCTTGAACAAAAACACCTGACCAGATTGTCCAACTTTGTGTCCAAGAGTGGAGGTGGATGCTGACACTTGCAAAGCTGTCAAGCATTTGTTTTTCACTGTAGTGCGTCAGCACTTCATGAGAAATCTTGTATCGATCAGGTCTCATTATAGTGAATTCCAAAGGAACAGCCAAATTTTTGGATAGTACTTTTCTCTCTCATTTTTAAGTTTCTCTAATTTTAAAGATTTTCCAACTCAAAAAATGTGTCACAACATACCCTTTTCTTTTTTAGAATATAAAGTCTTGAATACAGGAAAGTTTAAGACTCTAAAGTAGTAGAGTACATACCCGGGCAACTTAAAGGAGTTCTAAGCATGGGAGAGATTATTTTCATTTGTGGAAGAGCAGAAAATAAAAGATTTCTGAGTTCAAGATCCCCACTCTGAAGTGCATTCCCGTAGTCACCCTGGCCAAAAATCATTTTTAGTTTCATGAAAACCTTTCTGTCTCTTAATAAAACATTTAGATTCCCATTATAGAAATTTATTATAAAAGCACTTTTGGAAAACTATTTAGTGTTCAACTAAAAGATAAATTGTTAAAGTTAAGTGATATTAGACATTAAATGGAGATAAATGCTCAGTTTTCTAAGAGTTTAAAACCTTTTGATTATTGCAGACAAGCCATTTTGGATATATGTCTTTTTGGAAAATATTCTATATTTTGGAAGAGAAGCTCACACTATAAAAAGAGAAAAGGTCACCTTTAAAGTAGAGCTGTCTGCATCCAGAACAAAAGCCTGTCGGTGCTGTTGTTAAGGAAGTCAGCAGTATACAGACCAAATTATTGGTTGCAAACAGTATAAACAATGGAATTTTTCAAATGGAAAAGGCAGTTTAAGTCGAAGAGAAGTTGGCTGCCAAGGAAACCACTGACTGGAAAAGACTAGCAAAATTTTTATGCAGACTAGCATGATCACCTTGTGGTATTTTCTACTCTCTTCCTCTGAAAAGGGAGAGAAAATAGGAGGATAGCAAGAAACATGGAAAAGCATCCTCTTCTGTTGTAAGGAGGCGAGGACTAGATCATTCTCTTCGGTTCCCCCTAACTTTTTATTTTCAAAATGTTTATGACTTAAAAAAAAAAAAAACTTGAAAGAAGAGTACAATCTGTATACTCTTCACCTAGATTCACCAGTTTTTAACTGTATTTGCTTTCTCATACCCTCTCCTACGCGTACATATTCACATTCACACCCATACAGAAAATAAGTCACAAACGTTACAGCATTTCATCTCTAAATACTTCAACATGTTATTTCCTGATAAGACATTCTCTACCTAACCACAGTACTGTTATCACACCCAAGAAATTTTCCATTGATTAATATTTCCCCTAATAATGTCTTAGGGAGAGGGGGATTTAACCTAAGATACAGTGTTCCTTCATTGCATTTAATTGTCATAATTTTTTCATCTTCTTTAAAGAATAGCCACTCTTCTTTTGACTTTTATGTCACTATTTCTTAAAAGACCAGGTTACTTTTCTTACAAAAAGCCCCACAGTCCAGACGTACTGATTTTTTTTCTTATGGTTATATTCTGTTAAACACATCTGACAAGAAAACTAACAAAGGAAATGTTGTGGCCTATTTTATCACATCGGGAGGCGCATAACATCAGTTTGTCCAGCTATCAATGATACTCTGTTTAATCACCCACATAGGTGATAGTCACAATATTTTTTTTCATATTTTCAAAGGTATCTTTTTCCTTATAATTTAGAGAAATGTGGGGTTCAATACTTTGAGACCATGTGACCATGAACATGGTTCTCCTTTTTCTCTAAGATCAGGAACAAAACCAGGATGCCCACTCTCACCACTCTTATTCAACATCATTTTGGGATTCCTGGTCGTAGTGATTAGGCAAGAAGAAGAAATAAAAGGCATACAGATTGGAGACAAAGAAGCAAAACTGTCACTATTTGTGGATGATATGATACCATATATGGAAAACTCCACCAAGTAACTGTTAGAATTCAGTCCGGTTGCAGGATACAAAATTAATGTATAAAAATCAGTTGTGTTTCTATACACTAATAAAGTATCAGAAAGAAAAATCAAGAAAACATCCCATTTACAACTGCATCAAAAAGAATAAAATACCCAGGCATAAATTTCACCAAAGAGGTGAAAGACCTATACACTGAAAGCTATAATGCATTCGTGAAAAAAATTAGAGAAATAGAAAGCAAGATTTTGTCCTCAAGGACTGAAAGAAATAATAACATTAAGATGTCCCTACTACACAAAGCAATCTACAGATTCAGTGCAATCCATATTAAAATTCCAATGACATTGTCCACAGAACTAGAAATAATTCTAAAATTTGTATGAAACCACAAAGACCCTGAATAGCCAAACCAATCTTGAGAAAGAAGAACAAAGCCAGAGATATCACTCTCCCTGATTTCAAACTATACTACAAAGCTATAGTAATCAAACAGTATGGTCCTGGCATAACAACAGACACATACATCATTAGAACAGAATAGAGCCCACAGAAATAAATCCATGTATTTTTGGTCAATTGATTTACAACAGAGGAGGCAAGAATAGAGATAGGGAAAGGACAGTCTCTTTAACAGATGGTATTGGGAAAACTGGACAGCTACATGCAAAAGAATGAAACACTATTTTATACCATATACAAAATCAACCCAAAATGGATTAAAGGCTTGAATGTAAGACCTAAAATTACGAAACTCCTCAAAATATAGGAGGTGATAAGCTCCTTGATACTGGTCTTAGCAGTGGTTTTTTGGATCTGACTCCAAAGGCAAGGGCAACAGAAGCGAAAATAAACAAGTGGAACTGCATCAAACTAAAAAGCTTCTGCACAGTAAAGGAAACTATCAACAACATGAAAAGGCAACCTACTGAATGGGAGAAAATATATGTAAAGAACTAACACAACTCAGTAGCAAAAAACAGTATGATTTAAAAATGGGCAGATGATTTGAATAGATGTTTTTCCAGAGAAGACATACAGGTACATGAAAAGATGCTCAGTATCACTGATCATCGGGGAAAGGCAAATCAAAACTACTATGAGATATCACCTTACAGCTGTCGAATGGCTGTTATCAAAAAGGCAAATAACAGGATGTGGAGAAAAGGGAGCCCTCTTGCACTATTGGTAGGAATGTAAATTAGTGCCGCCACCATGGAAAACAGTCTGTAGATTCCTCAATAAATTAAAAAGAGAACAACCTTGTAAGCCAGAAATTCCACTACTGGTTATCTATCAAAGGAAAATGAAAACACTAATCCAAAAAGTTGTATGCATTCCTGTGTTCATTGCAGATTTATTGACAATAACTGAGATAATGGAAACAACCTAACTGTCCATCTGTGGATGAATGGCTAAAGAAAATTTGATTGATTTATAGATAACTCAGGCATAGGAGTAGTAGTATGTAAATACTACTCAGCCATGAAAAAGAATGAAGTCTTACTGTTTGCAGTAACATGGACGGACCTCGAGTGTAATATGATAAATGAAATAAGGCAGACAGAAAGACAGATACTGCATGACCTCACTTATATGTGAAATCTAAAAAAAAAACAAAACCCAGACTCATAGATACAGAGAATAGAGTGGTGGTTGCCAGAGGGGAGGGTGGTTGGCAGTAGGAAGGCAGAATGGGTGAAGAGAATAGAAGAAGAAGTACATACTTCCAAGTTATAAAATAAATAAGTCATTGGGATATATTGTACCGTGCGGGAAATATGGTGAGTAGCATAGAATTAACATTGTAAGGTGATAGATGGGAACTAGACTTATTATGGTGACCATTTCACAATGTATGTGAATATCAAATCACTGTATTCTATACCTGGAACTAATATAACATTGTATGTCAATTACACCTCAATAAATACAGATTTTGTTCAGATTTTTCAGGTAAAAGTGAAAGTATCCCTTTCTACTGTTCCACTCCCTCCCCTGCTATATCTGCACCCCTTTCCCAAACTGTTAACAGTTCGATCTGTAGCCTTCAAACTTTCTTTTGCTGTAGTTGATGGCAGTTTTGTTGTATTTTTCCATATTTAGCACCAAATATACACAAAGGGCATATTTATTTCTTTATTTTGCAAATATGCAAACGTATCGTACTTGGTGTTTTACCTTATATGTCTTAGGTATCTTTTTATGTCCATATGTATCGAGTTATACATAGCTACTCTTTTAGTAGCTGGATGATAGTTCATAATACAGATTTACCGTAATTTATTTAACCATTCCATTACTGATATTTGTGTTGTTTCTAGGTTTTCATTATTACAGACAACTGCAATTAATATCCCAGAATATGTCTTTGCATATGTTTATGAATTTCTGTAGAATAGATTCCCAAGAGGTATAATGGTTAATTAACTGTTACTGATTCACACTTCAGTGGGAGCTTCCTCATACCCTTACCAACACCAGCAATATTTAGCAATATTTTTTATATTTGCCAATCTGATGGATTAAAAAAAGACTGGTAGCTTACTGTTTTCATTAGTATTTTTCTGTTTACTAATGAAAATGTTAGTTCGTGTTTGTTAACCACTAATTTCTTCTATGATTGCTCACTTGTCTACAGGGGTTATTTTTTTTTTAAGATTTTTATTTATTTGAGAGAGAGACAGAGATAGCAAGAGAGAGCACACAAGTGGGGAGGAGAGGGAGAAGCAGGCTCCCCAGTGAGCAGGGAGCCCAAAGTGGGGCTCGATCCCAGGACCCCGGGATCATGACCTGAGCCGAAGGCAGATGCTTAACCCACTGAGCCACCCAGGCATCCCTGTGGGGGTTATTTTAATGGAGCTTTTGTATAAGGTATCCCTTGCTGTCTGAATTTTTGCTACCTAAACTGTGGAATTAAGTAGATTGGATAAAGTCTTGAGAAATCCCTTTTTGTATGTACCCTCACTGCGGCATCCAAAATCAAATCAATTCAGATAAAAACATTCCTAACTTGCCATACAAAATTAGGCTGTCCAAAATCAGGAACCAAATGGAGTCTGGTAGAGAGCAAGACGTATTGTCATTCTAATCTCTTCTTCCCTGTGTCTTGTTTATCTTTTGATGTTGTTCATGTGGTTTTACAAATAAAAAATTGGAAGTGTTTGTTGAGTATCTGTGGTTTTCCTGTAGAAATTCTAGGTTTTGCTTTACTTAGGTCATCTTTTCCCATCTAAGAAATTTTTTTTTTTTGGTCTATTTTATTTTCTTCTCTATGATGATTCTTAGACACACCAGAATTTTTAGATACATGAAATATATTTTTATGCATGAGTTTTGTCACCACATTTTTAATAGTTTATCCTTTATCTTTAATCATAAACACCACCTTTATCATACACCAGATTCTTACACATGCAAGGATCTGTTCTAAAGCAGTACCATCCTGTGAATGAGTATATTAATATCTAGATGAGAAAGTTCCTTGTTCTTTTTCAAATATTTCTTGTTTATTATTGCTTAATTTTTCTTCCAGGTACATTTTAGGACAAAATAAATTGACATTTACCATTTATGCTTCCTCCAGCAATATATGCGAACATGCACTTCCCGATGTCTGGAAGAAACTGGCTAGGGGTCTGGAACTAAGGCTATAAGACTTGAATAAACCTAGAAAAATTAAAGACAAATTATCTATCCTCTAACCTAGAAGAAACTTAATGGGTTTGTAACACTGTTAAGTGTTGCCTAAGTGTTTGTTTAATGAGCTGTTGACTCATTTACTACTTTCTTCTAGGTAAACCCTCTCCAGTCCTCCTTGCACCCCTCCATAGTCACCCCCAGATATTCACATCATGATGCTGGTGTACCCTCTTCGCCCTTCCAGACATTTCTCCCCATTCCCCTCCACTCCACCACACTCCCCACATTTTCTATCTGGGGAAATCTCATTTGTTCCTAAAAACCCAATTCAGATACTACCTTTTCTGGGAATGTTAACTGCATGTCAATGGTAAGAAGATTGTGGTAGCCTTTGTGCCTCGTATGATTTGTTCCTGTGTTATCGTCATCAAACTTTGAGCTGAATTAGGACATACATGCCATCTATATGTCTTTTCCAAACGTTTTTGAAAAAGAGTACAATATCCCAGTCCTCGGGGAGCTCACCAGAGAGTGAAAGGGAAGGCTTAAGGTGGAGGAAAAATAGATATAAAAGCATACATTATATGTGATTTTTTTTTTTTTTAAGTCACAGGAGAGCTTTTAGATCCATTTTTTCCCCCAACCTGCCCAGGTTTAGATTTTATGGCTTGTGCCCAAGGCTTTACAACTTGAGGCAGTCATTTTGACCCAGGAGGGCATTCCACCTGGGACATCCTACAAGAACAGGTGCAGAGATAGGACCAAATGAGCCACTATTGTTGAGTTTGGGGCCAGAAGGAAAAATACTACAAGATGGAGTTTGAAAGGCCTGAATATTCTGTGAAGGATGTGGGGGCAGTAGTCTCCTATCATGTGGAGTTAAATGCTAAACGGACAGACACTCTGAATCTCTTCTTTTTTTCCTAGTACTGGATGAATGAATACACCTCATCTATCGGAATTGGCGTTTTTCATTCGGGAATTGAAGTATATGGCAGAGGTACGTGTACACACAGTCTAAATAGACTTTCTGAAGATTGTTTTCTTTCAAAGGACTTGCAATTCATATCCATAGTCCTTCCTCTCTTTTCAGCTGCTTCCATCCTTTATTGCAGAAAGTAGGAGAAACATCTTCCCATATTTGTTTACACCATCTTGGGAAAATGCCTGGAGTTGAATGTGTTTGGGGAGAAAGTACTGTAGTACATGACCGTACATTCATGTAGTTATCTTTTATTCCAAATACAGGGTCTTAAAAAATACTTGCCTTTTGGGATTGTTTTACCATGACAGTTTTGTGCTAACAGATATTGGAGATCCTAAGAAACATTGCATGTTGAAAACCAGTCATTATGGTTGGAGATGAGTTGGTGCTAGAGTGTCAAACTTGAAATGCCAATTTCCTGAGGGAATTTCAGTATTAAATTTTTTTTATAGACTTGCAAGTGTGTCATTACAAAGTTTAAAAATATCACTGAGCAAATCCCGCCCTTGATTACATCTGACTTTTTGCTCAGGAGTGATGGCCTTTGTCATTAACTCAGCCCTTTTATTCTTCGTGGCCCTTTATTATAAATATGACAGGAGCCACTCAAACCAAGCAGCTTTGTTTTCAGCAGCTTTTTCCATGGTTCTAATTCCCACCGTGGGTGCAGGATAATTTCCTCCAGATCAAACTGTAAGCAGTAATGGTCTGCATAACACAGACCACATTGCCAGTTCCAGCAGGGTTGTAGGAACATATTATTTTGCATCATAAACTCACCCTGTAGCAGAAATGTCTTTTATTTGCCTCAGGCAGTCTTTGTACAAGACCTCTAAGAACATGTGATTGCAGTCTACCCAGAGTAACCTGTGGAGGCTACAGACCAGCTTTCGCGAATACGAGGAGAAGGCTCATTTCCTGTGTGTCAGGGTGGCGTTTATACTGTCCCCTCCTGACGTTCCACATTAGCTGCTTCTGGCTGCAGCGTAGCATAGAAAATGTTTGCTATAAAGATCCGCCACGTAAGCACCGTCTCAGTGGATAGGTTACATCTACCAAATAACCCCCCAAAGCAAGGAGGCTCCTGCCGAAAGAGTTTAGTGGTCAGAGTGTTGCTGCGGGTGGTATCATCGTCTGTGGGTTTGCTCCCTTGTTTGATTCGGCTTTTGCCAAAGTTGTGTGTGTTCCTTTTTAACTGAATTTCTGTGGTGTGTTACAGTCTTTTAAGTGCCATGCAGTTCTGAGCCACATGATCATGCTGCTCTGATGTAGAGAAGGACATGGAGGCATGTGGCAGTTTCTCCATGTTGCAAACGAAGAAGCCCAAGCTCAGCTCTGCTGACAGTCCTACTACTAATTAATTGAACGAGGACTTGAACCCAAGTGTTCTTACCTCCTAGCCCAGTATTCTTTCACCTGTCTAATCATTGCTCCCCTCCATAAAATGATTTAGGAATAATTAGAAACATGGTCTGAACATGTTCACAGAAGCTTAGCCAAGCTAAGGTCAATATCTTGCAGAAAGTGAATGACACTTCTTGAATAAATGAATAAATGGCTCGACAACTTTTCTTGCTGGAATTGAGGAAGTAAAAAATGAAAACATTATCTTTCCATATCTAACCTGACTATCTACAATGTTTTATAAAATCCTATCATTAAGATAATTTTTACTGTTTCACAATTGAATGCCAGACGCTTTATTTCTTATCCACGTCCTTTCTTTTTCTCTGGAAGGTCTGGATCAAAAGTAAACTTGGTATCTGCCTTATTCTTTGACCTTTCATGATTATATTTAATAAATTTTAAGCAATGAGATTAATTTGAACATTTGTAATTTTGAAAATAAGTCCACCACAATTTGCCACTTCAGTATCTCCTCCCAGGAATTTTAGTTCCTTCCTTATCTGAGAGCATCTCTGCTTCTGTTCTGGATGAGAGTTGAGATCTCGTGAGCCTGTAGCACAAGTCGTCCTCTCCTGGCTCAGAGATTTGCTGTGGAGAGTGTGTGTGAGTAGGTGTAATGTGTTAATTTGGCAGCTTAATTTTTCTTGAATGAGGGGAATGGAATTCAGTTTTTCAGGCTTGCTAATGTTTCACTCTTATTCAAAGATAAACCAAGAGTCTTCAACCCAGGAGCCGTGCAAAATCATTATTAGACAGTTTTTCCAGTGAAGTGTAAGTTTAACATTTGATCACTTTAATTTAGAAAAAGACAAAACACAGCACGGACCACCCACTTAGTTTGGCACGATCGCTAGGCAGAGAGACCTCATTCATCTGTGAGTGTTAGTCACTCTGCTCTCGTCAGCGTACACGAAATAAATGGACAAGTCAGGATCACCTTTGAGTGTCTTTCGTTATTGGTTTCAGGCCTTTTGTATCAACTGTTGTGTACGAGTAACAGCTGAATGAGATGTTTGTGAAAGTATTGATAACCTGGAAAATACTTAGATGGTATCATTATTATCCTCATCATTTATTAAAACTAATTCAGCATTCTGGTTAAGTTTTGTGTGATAAATACTAAAAATCATGAGTTTTCTCTTTTCAGAATTTGCTTATGGTGGCCATCCTTACCCCTTTTCTGGAATATTTGAAATTTCCCCAGGAAATGCTTCTGAACTAGGAGAAACATTTAAATTTAAGTAAGTAGGGAGGACAATTTTTATTACACTGTCTTAGGTGCCAAAGCTTGTTTTCAGGCATACAGAATTCATCCTGTAGATGAAAATCTAGGAAGTTAAAATGTTTCTTCAACGTTTTAGTTGCTGACACTTTCTTTAAAATTGAATCTATCTGAAGTTTGTATAAAGATGGGAATCAGCCAGATGAAGTGCCTGAAATAACTAGTCTGTTACTTTTATTCAGGACCCACGTAAGTTACCTTGTGTACTTTGAAAATGTTCTTACCTTGGTGTAACTTGGGTTCTGCTTTAGAAGACTTTTGTATTTGTATGTAGTAATGCATCCCCTGGACGTCCCACGCGGCGGGGGACGGAAGATGGTTTTCTTGTGGCCTCCCCAAGACTGTTACAAATGTCTTCATTTTTCGGGTGGTAGCTACCCTGGTGGTAAGCAGAGCATACAGGGCTGTTGACTCTGCGTACACCTGAAATTAATGTGACATTGGGTGTCCACTCAAAGTTAAAAATTTTTTAAATAAAATACATGAAGAGAAAAAAAAAATGGTCGGGAGGATTTCTTTTTTTTTTTTTTTTTTTGAGAGAGAGTGCGAGTAGGGCAGGGAGGGGCAGAGGGAGAGAGAGAATCCCAAGCAGTCTCCTCACTCAGTGTGGAGCCCGACATAGGGCTCGATCTCACGACCTGAGCCAAAATCAAGAGTCGGGACACTTAACCAACTGAGCCGCCCAGGTGCCCCATTCGGTAGGATTTTATTTTTTTAATCTTTTCATTTTCCCAATGAAAGGGACACTGTTTATACATTTGAAATAACTGACCAATTAGTTAGCTGAGAAACTGTTATTAAGGTGTGTGTATCACATGTTTTGATACACCAAAATACTCTGGAGCCTTATGTGTAGTCAGCAGCACTGAGAATTTGCTTAACAATCAGATTTCTATTTCTTAATTAAGGTTTGTATTTGAAGAGATATTTAGAACCTAAGGTTCAAGGAGTTTTAAAGAAACTTTTGGGCCTATGATTGTTTACTTGCCAAGTAAAAAGTAGTAAAATGAGGTTCTAACCTGAAAATTCAGGATAGGACTACACAGTTTTGGGGTTTTTTTGAAGATTTTATTTATTTATTTGACAGAGAGAGCACAAGCAGGGGGAGTGGTAGGCAGAGGGAGAAGCAGACTCCCCAGTGAGCAGGGAGCCCGATGCGGGACTCGATCCCAGGACCCTGAGATCATGACCTGAGCCGAAGGCAGACACTTAACCGACTAAGCCACCCAGGTGCCCCAAGGGCTACACATTTTTATCACTACTAAGTTCATGGTTTTCTTGGCCTATCACTGATTTGCTATAATGCCGTCCTGAGTCTGTTCCTTAGGTTTCCCTTTTAATAGGACTACTAGATAAAAGGGTTTTCTAAGTATTTTCAGTTTTCTTGGATGCCTAACTTGTATCTGACTAAAATTCTGCTTTCTATTGGATAATGTCTATTGCATTTCCAGGGTAGTAGTTGGGGGTCAGGTGGAGGGTGTTTATTTTTTAATTGGGGGGTTTGTTGGTTGGTTAGTTTTATAATCCTGTAAAAAAAAAAAAAATTAGCTGTTTGGTAGTTCATCTCATGGTGGCACAGAAATAGATGACATAAAAGACTGTTTTTGGATGAGACTGTGGCCAGCTCTTTGACGGCCGGTATAATGAGCAGGAGTATTTGCAGCACCAGTCTGGTTCTCTAATAACCTGACTGCTTACCCAGTGCTTGTAAAAATAATGTATTGTTGCATTTTTAATATACGACACACTGTTTCATAAAGAAAATGACCAGGTTTGCATTTGTATGATTCAGAAGTAACGTACCTAGGAGTTTATTGTAGAAAAGTAGAAACTCAACAGAACTTTTAAAAGTATCTCATGTACCTTTTAGTCATATTGCATTAACTCGGCTTTGTTATGCCAGTCAGAATATTCCTGGAAATAAGCAAGTCTTTGAACATGCTCTTTAGAAATACTTAAAACTCACACAGTCGTGTTTGTTTCTTTCCTCTTTCTTTCTGTTCTTCAAGAGAAGCTGTAGTTTTAGGGAGCACAGACTTCCTGGAGGATGACATCGAGAAGATTGTGGAGGAGCTGGGGAAGGAGTACAAGGGCAACGCCTACCACCTGATGCACAAGAACTGCAATCACTTCTCCTCGGCCCTGTCGGAGGTGAGTCTGTTTTCTCCTCGGCCCTTCAGGCGGAGAACACCCGGAGCGTCGTCGCTGGCCGCTCTTGTCAGCCGCTTTCCCAACCCCTCGCGTCGGGGAGCATGCGGTGCTCTGTGTCCGGTATGAATGAGCGTGGGTTCCGACCGTGACATCGATCACCACATGGCCGTGGGTGGAGTGCGCACAGATAATCATCTCCTCCGGTTCCAGTTCGTCTTATTACAGCCTGGAACTTGCTGCCTCTCAGCCACCAGATTCTTCTTTCTCTGTTTTAGTTGCCAGTGTGAATTTTTTTCCTGGCTCTTAAAATTATTAATAAGTCGTTCCTTTCACTGCTCTGGAAATTTCGTTCTGCCAACTCACACACAGGCACTTACTTGCCTTCCCCGTTCTTGACTCCCAAGCAGGAGACCAGGGCTAGATCAGAATCGGAAGGCCTGAACACAGAAAATGGAGGGAAGAAATCACAAGATTAGGAAATAAGGTCGAGAGAATTAACTAGCACTCGGCGGCTGGAGGCAGGGGCGGCGTCGGGCCCACAGGACCTGGACAGCAGGCAGGACAGACGGAGCCGCCGCCTCGGTGGCCTGTCCGCCTCCGTGGCCTGTGCACGAGTGCCTGGCTCGCTGGCCCTCTCCCCGGCCCTTGTGGCTTCCAGAGCACGACTCTCGGACCGGCCCGCGGTGGGGTACCACGCTTCTTGGATGTGTCCCACACCCGCAGCACGGAGGGCTCGTGATTCACATCGTCTGCACCCCACCAAGGCGCCCAGAGTCAGCATCTTGATGTTCATGTGAGCCCTGACGATTCGTCCGGCCGTGACTCCAGTCTTGTAGATGCGCTGATACCGTAGAGCTGACCTGCTTGCCTCTCAGGAACGAGAGAAGGTGGTTCAGGTCCTTCTGGACCGCACGTGTAGGGAATGCATCCAGGGATCCATAGGGATCCATAGAATGTTAAAATCGGCATAGATAGTAGCTGGCACCCAGTCCAGTCGCCTCGTTTGACAGACGAGGTGGCTGTCACCCATCCAGAGTATATAGGGGCAGCCGGGCCACCATCCCTTGTGACAGGGGAAGCTACCTACGCAGTTAGGAATGGTCGATCCAGCCCCGAAGACCCGGCGCACTGGATGCCCTGGCTGTTTCACCCGGGCTGCAGGCATGAGGGGGACGAAGTGTAGCCCAGGTGATACCTGAGGTCTGTCCTCTCCTCTAGGCAGGAAGAGAAAAGAAAAGCCCCCAAGTTCCCAAAGTTGAGTTTTGGGGCAGCCAGAAATGCTAAACCTTTGTGTTGCTCTCTCCAAGTGGGAGGGAACATGATTAAAAAGTTTCCAGGCCCGAGCCAAGTAAGCACGGGAGTAGGGGGGATACCACACTAATGCTTGAGCTGCTGCTGAGGCATCCCCGCCCCATCCCAGCTGGAATCTCGCCGGACGGCTGCAACCTCTGTCATGGCTAAGTTTATTGCTGGGACAGTGTGAGTAATTTTGCAATGAGGAAAGAATTGTATTTTGTGATTATTGCATCTATAGATGTAGGATAGGAATTGGCATAAAACGTTCTGTGCATGTAATTTTATAGAGGATACAGGGACTGTCTCACTCGGGGAATGCTGCAAAGCGAAAGGGTTAGTGGGACACAACTTCCTTGCTTTTTGCAGCCATAGAGTGGATGGAGTTTAAGTCTTCGATAATGAAATGAGAATGTGTCTCCACAGCTGAGATTTTTACTATGATTTTTGCGTATTACGGCCTCTGGGAAAAGGGAGACAACATACAAAGAGAGACCATTTCCAGGTGGACTTCAGAGTGTTAAAAAGCAGTTTTTAGATACTAATGAGCTCCTGTAAAATCAGATGTCTGACCCATCAAGGCTGCTGATTTTCCAGCCCGATGTGCATATTTTGTATTGGGTTTTTAAAAAAGGCTTAGGGAAACCTTGCATGTTGCTTGAACTTAGAAACATGGCTCCCTGGCCCTGCAGCATCTTGACTTTACTCCTGCCGAAGAAAAGCCCTGGCCTTTTTTTTGAAATCCTGAATTCACAACCCTAATTGCCATGGCTTGACTTATAGGCTGAAACCCGGCGCTGTCTACTACCCTCCCTGCAGACTGAAAGGTAGAGGCTCAGGGAACAGGGCTTCTCCTCGGGGACCATTGCAGGTCAGGACACCGTCTGCGGAGCCCTATGCTATGAAAGCCTTACGGACGTTGACCGACCCGTCTGGCTTACTTGCAGGTGCCCACCGGAAAGGGCTTTTCCCCGCCGGGACCGGCTGTATTGTGCTGCTCATCGGCTCGCATTTCTAATACAGGGACTGATTGAATCCCTAACCAGTGATTCTTGCCAAAACTGCAAGTGGGGAGAAAGCACATCACCAGGACTGTGAACCCCCGCCCACTTCCAATGCATGTCCCACCGAGGCTCCAGGGGATAGCAGCCAGACGCCCTCCTCCCACTTCCCGCTGCACGCTCCTTAGCAGGGCCGTGCGGTTACCAAGTGCAGTTGTCCGCAGACGCCGGGCGGCTTCCCTAGGCTGCTCGCTATGTAAGTGGTCAGGGTAGAGGGAGGGAGTCACTGTATAAACCCATTTTGAAGTTTTCTGAAAACTCCGGATCTTATCCTGACGAATCCCTAACATGATGCGCCTGTCTAGTTCAGTTACATAAAAATATTTCCAGCAAGAACTCTGTCCCTCTTGTGTACATCCTTTCCAGACCAAAAAAGGGCTGGATGAGAGCAGGGGATAATTTTTAAAGTGTAAAGTTAGGATTGCTAAATGGCACACACTGATTTTGTAACGACGACAAACAGAAACCCCAAACCCTGGCAGCTAGAGAGGAGAGAGGAAGAGGGAGGCCTTGATAACCTTTGTTTTTCAACACTGCACCTCCCCTTGTCCTAAAGAAAAATGTTGCATTCTGCCTTTCTGAGCTGCTGCAACTTGGAGTTCAGCCAGCTGTTGCCCTGTTCCTACACTTTCCATACACGACACCCCACACGTCTTCCACGCTCGCAAGGCCGGTAACCTGGTGTCGCAGACAAACAACTGTTTGGATCTGACCGTCTCTAGGCAGACCCTCTGAAACCAAGATTCAGCCAGTTTTTCAGGCTAGATTAGAAACCCTCGGGCAGAAGCCCTGTCTTCTCATCCATTTGGGCAGCTCAAACACAAGAGCACAGGCCGGGGGGCTTCTCAGCAACAGACCTTTATTTCTCACCATTGTGGAGGCTGGGAAGTCCAAGATCAAGGTGAGGTCAACTGGTGAGGTCTGCTTCCTGGGTTACAGGGTGCTGCTTGCCCTGGCCTTGGGTGGCAGGAAGGGTGAGGGGGCGCTCAGATCCCTGGTTAGCGCACGAATCCTGTTCACGAGGGCTCGGCCCTCATGACCTGACCGCCTCCCAGAGGCCCCCCTTCCACAGACCATCATGTTGCAGGTTAAGATTGCAGCATACCAACTTTGACAGGACAAAAATCTTCGGTCTAGAGCAAGCCCACAGTGCTCACTCCCAGAGAGAAAGCGCATTGGGTGGGGGCCTTTTAACCTGGACTGCCTGACCCGGGTACCCTGCTTGGGGTGCCCTAACATCGTAAACTGACTTTCTAGGGGTATCCGTGTGCCGTCTGGGGTTTTACTTCTTGTGTGTGTACCCTGACTGTCAAGACATTGCCTCAGCCCTAAAAACCTGTCAGGCCGACTTCAGGGTACTGGCCAGAGTTTCGATGATCCTGAATGATGCCTCAGGCCAGGTAAAGAAGGTTCATACCAAAACTGAAGGTGGACGCCACCCGGCTTTCTAAAATAAACCTTGATGGTTAGTGGGATTTGTTTTAACTGGCTAAGGCCAGTTATACCCTTTAGGTATAACCGAAATCAATACTTGAGGTTGGTCTCACCCTCCTGCATGGGGCCCTTTGATAATATTTGCTGTAACAACAGCTTGGCCAAGTTTGGGGGCTGGGGGGTACTGTATTAAAAAAAAAAGTTAAAACAGACCAGAGCCTGCTGTCCTTATAAAGCCCTGCTTATCCGAGGCGGGATTGGGGCTTTGGATGGCATCTGAGAACTTGATTTTCAGAATGGAGGAGTGGCTCGCTGTGCCTGACTGATTTGTACAAACAGTGTGATTTCTGTGAAACACTTGCTTAGATTCTGGGGAATCTAACAGCTTGGTACCTGCTAAGGAGGGGGTGCCTGCCTGCATAACCAGCCCCCAGTAAAACTTCAGATGCTGGGTATCTAGTGAACGTCCACTAGTGTTGCCCCCACTCCTTCACGGGGTCATTAAGTGTATCCTGGTTGCACTGGGAGAGACGCTTTGAAAGCTTGTGCTTGGTTTCCTCTGGACTTTGCATCCTCTTGCCTGTCGTGGATCATGGCTGTGAATGCAGCTGTGTACCCAGGCCCGCAGCCCTCTCGGCAAGTCATCATCTAACTGGAGGTGGTCTTGGGGACCGCTCACGCAGCTCAATAGCATTCTCCAAAGGTGATCAAGAGTTGTTGTGGTTTTTTTTTTCTTTTAGTATCATGAATTTCCCCTCCTCCCCAGATTTAAAAATATTCCATATACTTCACAGGAAAAATCAATCTAACTTACACCTGAAGGAACTAGAAAAGAACAAACAATGCCCAAGGTTAGTAGAAGGAAGGCAGTAATAAAGATCAGAGTAGAAATAAATGAAATACAGACTAAAAATACAGCAAAAAGATCAATGAAACTAAGAGCTGGTTCTTTGAAAAGATAAGCAAAATTGACAAACCTTTAGCTTGACTCACCAAGAAAAAAAGAGACAGGGCTCAAATAAATCAAAAATGAAAGAGAAGTTACAACGGACACGACAGAAGTAGGAAGGATCGTAAGAGAGACACTGTGAGCAGATTAGACAACCAAGAAGAGATGGACAAATTCCTAGAAACATACAATCTTCTGAGGCTGAATTATAAGGAAATAGAAAATCTGACTAGACCGGTTATTTTACTAAGGAGATTGAATCAAAAACCTCCCAGCAAACAAAAGTCCAAGACCAGACAGCTTGACTGGTGAATTCTACCAAACATTCAAGGATTTAATACTTAATCTCAAACTTTTCCCAAAAAAGAAAGAGGAGAGAACACTTTGAAACTCATTCTACAAGGCCAGCATCACCCCAATACCAAAACCAGACTAGGACACCACAAAAAAGGAAAATCACAGGCCAACATCCCTGATGAACAGAGATGCAGAAATCCTCAACAAAACATTAGCAAACCAAATTCAAACTACATTAAGAGGATTCTACACCGGGATCAAGTGGGACTTTACCCAGTGATGCAACGGTGGTTCTACATTTGCAAATCAGTCAGTGCGATACACCACATTAACAAAATGAAAAGTAAAAGTCGTATGATTATTTCAGTAGATGCAGAAAACCATTTGACAAAATTCAGCATCCACTTATGATAAAACTCAGTGAAGTGGGTAGAGAGGGAACGTACCTCACCGTAATAAAGGTCGAAGGTGACAGGCCCACAGCTCACGTCATACTCGGTGCAGAAAGATCAGGAGCAGGATGCCACCCTGCCGTCACCCACAGCGCTGTAACCAGTCACCCTGTGCATACGTCTCTTCGTACCCAGCCAGTGTGTGTCAGGGGTGGATTTCTACAAGGGGAATCACTGGTTGAAGCCTAAATGCAAAAGTAATTCTGCTACATAAACCACTACCCCCGTAAGAAATGTTTTCCATCCTGACACAGTATGTACACACACGTACGTGTAATGCGTTAAAACAAGTGTCACAGCTAGCCCTCCTATCTATAATCTAGCTCATTCTGAAAATTTGGGTCACAATCTGAATGACTCACGAATGGGTCTGGACTCGAAGTTTCGAGACATTGGCTTGGTGGAGGACCAGCACGCTTCCGAGAGGGCCGGGCCGGGGGTTTGTTTATAAGCTGGGGGACTGGTCACAGACTGGACTCCACCACTGAGAACTCAGCCCATGGGGGTGGCCGTGTCCCAGCGCAAGTCCCTCTACCAAAACAGGAGGCTGCCGCGGACAGTACTGCGTTTTCAGCTGATCAGGGCCACACCACCGGGGGTTGGGAGGAAGGTAGCTTATTGAGCACAACCAGGACTTGGGAAGTAGGTTGAAGGAAGTGAGTAGTCAGCAGCGGCTGTATGCTGACCTCTATGCTCCTCGCCACCCCTTCTGTGCTTAACCTGCAAATATGCAGTTCCCCCCCCCGCACGTGTCAGGTGTAAAATACAACATAATACTTGTTGGCCTGGGTTTCTTTGGGGAGAGAGATGGGAGTGGTATCGTGTAAGGTCATGGCTCGGCTTTCCCCCAGATCAAGTTCATGGACACATTTCTCAAATATTTTTTTTTTTTAAAGATTTTATTTGAGCACAAGTGGAGGGGCAGAGGGAGAGGGAGAAGCAGGCTCACTTCCCACTAAGCAGGGAGCCCGATGCGGGGCTCGATCCCAGGACCCCGAGATCATGACCTGAGCTGAAGGCAGACGCTTCACCGACTGAGCCACCCAGGCGCCCTCAATATTTTTAAGTACTCTCTACCTCTAGCGCTGCCCGGCCAGGTGATCAAGTTTGGTCAAAACATGCCATCTCCCCTCAAGTGAGACCACTTGCCCTGTGGTTAAGACAGAGACATCGTATTTAAAGGAAATGTAACCTTTGTCAGGTAAGGCTAACCCTTTAGAGAGAAAAATTTCCTTGCTTCATTACAGGTACCAGTTTATTTACATTTTCACTAATTTGGGGGCATAAGATACCTTGACACCTTTTTCAAGTCATCAACTAAGATAAGATGGCCTGATCCTAATCTGTGTCATGACTGGAGGCAAAACCACCAAGGGGACAGGGGAGCATGGGTCCAGGAAGCCCAGTGTTGTCTACAGACAGGCAAGAGGGTTAAGAAGGAGTAAAGTTCGTTGTGGAAGGCCTGATTCTTACTATCTGAGATAGACGGGGCCGTGGCTTGTGGCTTCGGAGTCCTAAGGACAGGGTCAGGGCGGGAAGTGGGCAGAGAGCCACACATCGTCAGCTGGAAAGGCCCCTGCTGGCCCCACATCTGCCCCCGCCATCCCCAGCGGAGTCTGCAGACGAAAGCCAGCCGGGCGTTCCGGCCCCACTCCTGCCGCGGACTCCCAAAGCCAGGTCTGCATCTGGGGAGCTGTTTCTCTCTCTGCCGATTCGAGCCCCTGGGGAGAAGTAGGATGGGGACAGAAGTCACAGGGTAGATAGAGATGCAGAAAGTGAGCCACATGAACGAGGCTCCGCAGAACGGGAGGGATGGGGCTGCCGGAAGGGCCCAGGCTCCAGAGGCCCAGGTGCAATGTTTCCGGGGCACCCACCTGCCTCCGCCGCACCCCCACACCCTGGCACTGGACCAGGCCCACCTCATTCATCTTACCTAACACCACACCCTTTGTTGTCCATAGATTCTCTGCGGGAAAGAGATTCCTCGCTGGATCAATCGACTTGCCTACTTCAGCTCCTGTATACCCTTTCTACAGAGTTGCCTCCCCAAGGAGTGGCTCACCCCAGCGGCCCTGCAGTCCAGTGTCAGCCAGGAGCTGCAGGATGAACTAGAGGAGGCCGAGGACGCCGCCGCATCCGCCTCCATGGCCAGCGCTGCAGCGGGCTCCAGACCTGGGCGCCACACCAAACTATAAACATCTCCAAAGTCACACCTTCAGAGCTGTCTCTGACAGTTGACTATCAACTAGAGAAAGTAAAAGAGTAAGCGTCCTCTGGATATTTTGTATGCAAAGATGGCTCTCCCCCCAATCCCAGTTTTTCAGCTCAGGATTATATTTGTAATCAAAAGAATCACTTGGCGCAGGAGGGAGAACTTTGTATGAAGCTTCCCTCTGTTTTTTTTTACCCACTTGTAAATTTGGATTTACTTCTGTTTTATACGAGCTCTGTTAAGTTATGTTTACAGTATTTTGTATCACTGTTTACAAATCTTGCATGGACTCCTGCCACCGTGAAAGAAGAAAATCTTCATGGCTTCAAAAACGAGGCAGGTCATCTTTGTACACTTCTGACAATTGCTGGAGCTACGGTGTTAACACTAGGCACACGAGGGATACTTGAGCGGTGAGAGTCGCCATCACCCGCTTGAGGATGGGCTCCTAGATCTGTGTTTGGGTTTGTTCACGTTCAGGACACAGAGGGCAAGGAGCACCCGCGGCCGAGGGTGGCAGCTCCCTGCCCCACAGAGGAGCGCGCTGCCCAGGCTCCCCCAAATCCGGGGGGTGTGGTGCTTGCATCCCAAATACCAGTCCACCTCAGCAGCCTGGTCCCTTCCTGCGTCCGTCCGGCTTGGACCCCTCTGATTCCATAGTTAAGATGGTTTTCGTTAAAGATATTCTTGCTAGTCACTAAGGAGTATTTTTGCACACGTGTTGGGAGCTTCACCTTTATTTTAATACCTCCCGCTACCCCCCTCCTTGCACCGGGCTGTGACAACGGGGTAGGAAGATCCTAAGCGGCAGCCTTCTGAGTAGCAGCGTGAGTTGACATTCAGCTGCTTTTTAACTGTTCGGGCTGCCTTTTATACGAGACCTTGAAAACTGGAGTCTGAAGTAACACTGTCCACAAAGTGAATCATTTGATATTCCACCATTTTATGTACCATTTCAGACAGAGTGTGTTGGAGTCCGTTGGCTTGTGATGGGAGTAGCATCCCCTCATCTTAGAAAACTGAGTCTCGTTGACTTTTTGTTGAAAGATATTTGTGTGTCTTAAAATTCATCTTTTTCTGTTCTCTCAAATGTGTCTCTTACAGAAACTACTCTGAGAAAGAAATTGTCAACCGCAGATAAGTCCTCATTAGCAGGGACTCCGTCTGCTCAAATCTACTCCCAGTTTGACCCTTGGATGTAAGAGCCAAGTCATTACATGTCAGATTGAATTCTTCTGCCTTAAGAATGAATGTCCTACATAGAATATTGGATGCAGCATATAAATTATCCAAGGCAGTGACTTCAGCTCTATAGAGATTGTTAGTTTTAAAGGCACCTACTTTTATTTAAACTTCTAGATTGGATTGTTTGCTATTGTTCTTTGTAAAGATACATATCTTTCAGTAAAGGACATTTTTAACTTTTCCATCAGCTGATTTTGATTCATTTTATCAACTGAAGCACACACTATTCCTAGGGAAACCAAACCTTGGGTTAGAAGCTTTGACCTGAGAAAAATGAAGCCACTTAACCTAATTTACGCTTTTGTTCTGTTTCTGGAGAGGAAAGCCTTGACCATTCTCCCCTCAGTTCTTTAGAGGGTGCAGAGCCCTCACTTAAGAGACATGACAGAAGGAAGAAAGGAGTATAGGATCTTTGTGAGAAGTTGACTTGGTTCAGGCCTAAAAAGGAGATTTAGAATAAAACACTAAGACTCCGGCCATGTGTCTGTTCCCTCAGAGGAGAGTCCTAGCACCAAAACCCAGGTTCGTGGAAAGTGTCTGAGGCAGTTTGCTTGGGATTTTTTTAAATAACGTGGTGGATGACAGTTGTTTCTCATCCATTCAGATAAACGTGATTTTAGTCCGTGCTGCTGACCCACATAAAGGAGTGGCCATCCGTTAGACCCATCTTGGTGAATAGCCAGGAACACCCCATCTGTGCTAATCTGGAATCCAGCACCTCGGCACACAAACAATTTCACCGCTGTTCTGTTGTGTTTACTTTGATCTGCAGCATTTGGAGTGAAAAATAGCGTGAAGGGGCCTGGTAGAAATAAATAGTGGCCTGAGGCCATTTATCATACTAGCAATCAGCATATAAAATTCTGGATGTGAGATTGCTTGCAATCCACTTGTACTTGAGGTTGTCTTTACTTTAGAAAATCTCATTTAAACCAGTTCCCCTCTATAGTTCAAAGTTGAGGTTGGACTTAATGGACTAGCATTTAACCAGCTTTTTCTTGCCCTTGCCGGGAAAGAATTGTGTTCTCAGCCTGATCTCTGTTCAGAAAAATCCAGTCATTTAGATACATGTGACATGACGGAGTCAGAGATCGTCTTTGTAGCGGGAACCAAGCGAAACCCATTTCTCATGGTGGGTTGGACGGCGACAGTGTGGGAGGGCCAGAAGCTACTGGTTTCGGTTTGTTTTCAGTGCACTTGGGTTGGTTGGTCGGGGTTTTGTCAACCCTAAGAAGGGGGCATCGGCTTTGGACAGTGGCCTCTGGAACTGTAGGAGGTGGCGTGGAGAGAGCCCCCGCTGGAGGCCTGGCGCCCAGCTGAGTGTTGCTCTGGCCCACAGTGATAGCACACAGCTCCCTTCACCAGCATCCACACAGAGCAGGGTCCGGTGTTCGCCGATGGGCGCCACCGCGCACAAGGAGAGTCCACGCTATGCCCAGCTGCGGGACTCCGTGTCCATGGCTTCTCTCCATCACAAAACGGGTAGAAACACATTCGCTGCTTCAGGGCTCGAATCTGTGTGTCTTCTTACGGCTCCATTTCTGCAAGATACTCGGTCGTTTCGATGCGTGCGTGCTGTGTTTCTTCTGCCATCGCACATTCTTCCCTTCCCTACGGTCCTAGGTGCGGCTCAGTGATTAGACTCGCCTTGTCAATACACATCTTCACTGTTCGAGAGGTGTTACAGCTGTTAAAGAATCTTCATGAACCTGAAGATAATTTCTTGTGAAGTTGAATGCAAATGTACTGTCATTCATAGTGTTTATATGAAAAAAAAAACCAGGAATTTCACTTTTGCTACCTTGATATAGCATTGGGCTATCATGTTAACAACATTGAAATACATCGATTTATTAAAAAAATACTTTTATAAGAAATGTTTTCTAGTGCTTTCTGCCTACAACTGTGACATACTTGTGTTGGAGGGTGGGTGGTAACCCTTAAAACCCAAGGCTCCCATCTGCTCTGTGGATGCGGTCGGACCCTCTTGTATGACTCACGTGCGTGCTCTAGAGCCCAAGTCCATGCGCCAAGTCCTTAGCTGCCAAAGAGCATAACCCCACTCCTCACGGCGGCCGTGGGTGTCAGCCCCAGCTCCCGGGCCATGAAACGGGCTGGGAGGGGGGACACGTCCTCTGCTGTCCACCCAGAGTGCAGGGGAGGGGTCGCAGAGGGAGAGCCCCCCCCCCGCGCTTGCTCACACACGCACCCCCCCATCTTGGAGCATCGAGCATGCAAGAGCCTGTTTCCTATAAACCTGTTCGCTTCTGTTTAGCACCTCCAACCTGACCCTTCTCTTTGCTGGCCACCTTTTTTTTTTTAAAGATTTTATTTATTTATTTGACAGAGAGAGACAGCAAGAGAGGGAACACAAGCAGGGGGAGTGGGAGAGGGAGAAGCAGGCTTCCCGTGGAGCAGGGAGCCCAATGTGGGGCTCGATCCCAGGACCCTGGGACCGTGACCTGAGCAGAAGGCAGACGCTTAACGACTGAGCCACCCAGGCGCCCCATTTTGCTGGCCTTCTTGTACCTAGCATTTCCCTCCACTAACTGAAAAACTTCTCTTGAATTAAGTATTGTTAAATAAGTGCTGGCGGTCCGCTCCTTCTAAGAAGGAACGACAGACAAGGCATTCGTTCTCCCTCAAGCGCAGTAACCAAAGGGAACCCCCCTCCCCATCTGAACAGGTTCCTAACAGACTCTAACAGGTTGGTCACAAACTCAGATCTGGTCAATCAACTGGTCTTGTCTGCAGAGAAGACGCCAAATATACTGAAACACAATGGCCTTTTTTTCCCCCATTATCCTCCTGTTCTGAGTTTGCGGAAATCTAACGGCTTCATGCTGTACTTTCCAAGATGTAACTTCGACACGGGCGGCTACTTGCTTCCTCATAGATTCTGAATCCAGAGAACTGAACCCTCTCAAACTTGTCCCTTTGATCCTTCCCAAAAAGAACACCCTCCCGAAGAAGATCGCGCGTTAACCCCCCACTGGGCAGTGGGGAGAGTTCCTTCTCGCCAAGGCCAAGGGGAAAGCGATTGAGAGTTAAGAAGGGCGGTCTCTCAGCTCGACCATGGAGACCTTCGTTTCCGGAGGCTGCAAGGGTGCACCTGTCCCCGGCAGCCACGTCCTGATGGGGAGGGCTCTGCGCTCCCAGTCAGCAATGTTCCATTCCCATGCAGTGGAGGAGCTACCTTGAGCTCTTCTCTGGCCCCCTCATTCGGGAGCAGTTGCCGGGTTCCATCAAACGCTTCTGGCCCCTTGGTGGCCCCAGCTAGGGGGGCCCGTGGCTAGTTTCCTCACACCCCTGACTCGCAGCGACGGTGAGAGCTAGTGCTTGGGCAGCCTCCAGGTGCTCCTTCAGCTGCAGCCGCACCGACGGAGGCACCGGCCTCGGCAGGCTGTCCTTACCGCTTTGCGGACAGGTGGGCCCTGGAATCCGGTTAGCCAAGCCGCTCAGCCAGACCCCTCGGATGGAGGGAGTTACGACCCTTCTGCTTGCTCTGCACTGGGAAAGGAATATGCATTGGGCAGGGCAGTGAAAAATTCGACAAGGAAAAATTATTCCATCTACCTAGGGCCCCCAGTCTATGTGGTTATCCACCCAAATGGGGACTGAGGTTTTCGATCACCAAATTGGTACAAGAAAGACTAAGGCAAGCAGGGCTGCCAGACTCAGCCTTAATCAAAGATAGAAGGACACTCTGGCCTCCCACTTCCTCCCCCAGGGTCACGAGTGGGCGCCACGGAGAGGCCCTAGCAGTAGCCCCTGGTGGGCAGCTGACAATCCACAGAAGACCAGCATCCCCGCAAATACAAAAAGTCATCACCTCGCGTCTGGAAAGGCCAGTGGATTTTGTGGACAAGACAAAGTAGAAAAGGGAAATGGTCTTATTGTAGCCCTGCTGTGTGCGCCTCGGAGCGGCGCGGGGCGCGGTACTCACATTACTCCATGTAACCCGCACAACAGCCTATGACCCGATTCCTGCTTTGCACAGAAACAATCGAGTGCGCATGAGCCCAAGACCACGCATGTGGCATAGGAAACGCCCGTATTGGAAACCAGCCCATCGTGAAGTTTCTACTCCTTCCACTCAAGCACACTGCTTGGGAATCCGTGGTCCACCCCGGACCTGCTAAATCCGATCCAGCATTTGGACAAGACTCCAGGTGATTCACATGGACATTTAGGTCAGAGAAGCCCTGCTCTGTCCATTCCTGTGGCTCGAGCCTTCTCTGCCCGCAGAAATGACAACTCCTTAGCCCGGCGTCTGTCATTCACAAGGGTGTCTGAAGGACCTGGCAGGTGAAATCTCCAAAATTCTCCTGGATTTGACTGAATCCATATAAATGACTCGAGGAGCATTCCAGTAAAGCATAAACTTGAACCCACTGGAGCGGCTACAAGGCGTAGTGACCTAGGGGCCCCTGATGCACGCACTGGGACTCCGGACTGTCCTTTGAGCTGTTGCCCACCTGCCTGCGAGAGGCCACCAGGACCGCACCCATCACACGGCCATCCCTAGGCAGTGGGCACTAGAAGTCCAAGCTCTTGGGCCACCCTTGCTCGGTCTGCACCCCGACCACTCCGAGCATGCCCAGCCACTCATCCTTGCTGGGCCCCTTCCAGTGAGCCCAGTGGGACTCCCAGTCTAACAGGCAAGCACCCCAGTAGCCTCCACTTCTTCAAATGTCTGCTTCCTCTGAGACCCAGCTGTCCCCGGCAGGTGCGCACCCCGAGAGTGTGTCCCCCCACCTGCCATTGCTGCTTCCACGCACTTCCTCTCCTCCCTTCCCTGCCAGCTCCGCTGAGCCGGGCTCCCCAGTGCTCCCAGCTGCTCCCTCACGCCGTCTGCCCTCCCTCCTCCTGCCCATCTTCCCCTCCACCCTGTCCCTGTCCTCATTCATTCCCAGGGACTCCAGTCACACAGATAGCCAACCTGTGCCCTCGCCCCACGTTTCTGCCCCCGGGCTCTGTTGTCACTGGGGTTGGACAATCCCTCCTGCCAGACAGTCCTGCCCCCTCCACAGTCATTGCCACATCAAAAGTCCGTGTGCATTTCGCCCCCGGGGTGTAGGCGGTGGGTCCCTGGTTGAGAACCATTGTCAATGTCTCCGCCCCACTTCCACCTGCACTCAAACCTTGACCGTGTTGCCACCGCGACTGACCCTCTGCCAAATCTTCACCTCGAGCATCTCTGGCCACCAGCCCGCGTGGCTCCGGCGCCCTTGTGGGTCCGCTGTCTGACGCTCCAGGTGACACCGTAGGCCCTGTCGCTTCAGATCTCCCCCATGTGCTCACACATCCGCTGAGAACCTCGCTGTGTGCCTCCAACACAGACACAGCGAAGGCAGCCGGCCCCTGTGTTGGGAAACCCAGTGCCCCCTCCTCTGTGCTCTTTTACTTTCACACAGAACATTCCACGTCCCACACGCTTGGTCACCAAATGTGGGGGCGTCCCCACCCCAAGCAATTCTGTGTGACACCAGCGGGGTGTCCTATGATTTAACTGTTCTTACGCTGTTGTCTACCTAGAGGTGGTGCCAGACCCCACAGGTCAGGGCTCAGGTGACAATCGCAAGTAGTATGTCCCAGGTGACCACAACCTCTGTCTGACTTGGCAACAAATCAGAGGTTCCCACGGCCCCTTTCTTGAGCCTAGTTGATTTGCTAGAGCAGCTCACAGAAGTCAGGAAACACTTACATTTACCAGTTGATTAAAGGACATGATGAAGGACAAGATGAACAGCCAGATGAAGAGATGTGTAAGGCGAGGTCTGGGAGGGTCCCCATGGAGCTGGGGGGTGCGTCACCCTCTCGCACGTGGAAGTGTCCACCACCCCCCCCGAGGCTCCCCAAACCCTGTGCCATAGGGATTTTATGGAGGATTCTTCAAGCAGGCAGGATTGATCATTACCTCCATTTTCATACCCTCCCCCTCTCTGGATAAGTGGGAGGTGAGGGGGGTGAAAATTCCAAGCTCCTAGTCATGGCTTGGCCTCTCAGGTGACCAGCCCCCGTCCAGGAGCCCACGCAGAGTCACCTCAGGAGGCCTGGAGATGCTCCTCGTGCTCTCACCATGGAGGAATTGACGGGTTTCAGGCGCCCCGTGTCAGGAGCAGGGGCAGAGCCAAGTGTCTGTGTTTTCTATTAACTCACAACCTCCCATTTCCCAATCTACACCTGAATTTGTACCGGGAGTCACTGTCCCTGTCACAATGGGAGAAGGTCTCTTACCGTTCCCAAAGGCCAGTCCCTCCCTTAGCACTGGATCCCACACTCCCCCGTCTGCCTGGCGCTTGCTCCAACATGATTCCCCCCGCCCCCCACCCCCCGCCATCCTGAGCTCTGTGCTCATCATCCCTTTGCTTTTCTTTATGGTTTTTACACCCACATATTCATCCCTAGACAGTATGTTGTTTGGTTTTACTTACTTTAAAACGTTATATAAATGGAATCCCACTGTATATGTTCCCTGTGGTTTTTTAAATTCCGTGTTTTTTTTTTAATTCATGCACATGAATGTGTGTAGTGATAGTTCATTTGTTTTCACTGCTGTATCGTATTCTGTCGTATAAATATTCCACAATTTTATTTACAGATTCTACTCTTAATGGACACCTGGGCCATTTCCAATTTATTGCTATTATGAGCAATGCTTCTATGAATATTACAATGCATGTTTCCTGCTGCTCATGGAAAGATTTCTCTCAGAGTGGAATCACAAGGTTGTAGGGAATGTACCTGTTCAACTTTATTAATGTAGAAAAAACAAGGCCCTCTGCTTATTACACTTTTATTAAATAAAATCCTCTCTCCACCTGCTGCTAATCAAACAGAGTTCCACAGGCTCGCTATTTTCTTATAATGTCAT